TATAAAAACTGAGTCTCACTCAATCCTGCAGGTTTGTTTCTGTGAATTAAAACCGATGATGGACACTGACACCTTGTGTTAGAGAACGAACACTTCACCTTTTAAACCTCCGTCTCACACGAAACGAGCTTCTGTAAAAAAAAACCCCTCGGCGCTTTAATTGACATTAAAACAAAACCCAACTCTTGTGATCGTGAACGAAAATCTCATTTTCTTCTTTCGTGAATGAGGAACACTTTGACAACACAAGCCCCGCCCCTCCTGTCATGAGCTAAAGCACCCGGAAGTGGCTCAGAACTTGTCAACAAGCGAGGCCAACCGACATGGTAACGTACTCTTCTCCTTCTCCGGCGTTTTCTCCTCGCTCCTCCCGCGTCTCGCTCGCAAGCGGCCGCTCGCGTAGCTCCTCGAAACACAAAGTGTCGCGGGTTACAAGCCGCTCTCTCGCGGTGTCGCCGCCTGGAAGGAGCGAATAAGCGGAGGAAGTGGAGGTTAGCTGTTAGCTCAGGAAGCTAATTTGTGAAACGTCTCAAGGAGGCGAAGCGACACAAACTGATCTGACAGCAGTTTTTTTATTTATTTATTATCATCGTGTCGACAACAGCACGAACCGAGCTCCGGGTTTTTTTTAATGGATTCACGTCACTGAGATTGAGAGAAAAGTCTCTGGGAACAGTTTTGTTTTTATCTCGGAAATGGTGGCGAGCCTGGCGTCGTAGTTGAGAAGATTACGGGAAGGAAGTGCGTGCGTGTGTGCGTGTCTCCATTGTGTTAGAGATCAGAACAACCTATAAATAGATATGTCCTATGTAATTAGCTGTATATCTATTAATCAGTCAATTGTTATCTGTATGTGTATCTGTCTCATAGGGCTTAATGGTCCAGAGTGTAAGATTTGGGTGAAAGGGATCTAATGGCAGTAATTGAATTCAAAATAGTCCTAGTGATGTTTTCACTGTGTGTGAATCATCTACATTTTCAGCACTGTTGTTTTCTTTGCCCTAGAATGAGCCATTTTAATTATTTCTACAAGTACACTTGACCATAAGTGTTCTGTTGATTGATTAATTGTTTCAGTCATCAACATAACTATCAAACTAAAAGAAGATTAAGAAAGCTGGTATTACCTGATCTGATGTATCTGTTTGCTCACTCATTTTTTATGGGAGTGATATAGTCATACTGTTATCATGGTTAAAGTTCAACCACATTAAACACACCTTTCATTCAACTTTTCCTCTTTCTCTTTACAGGTAAAGTCTTCCTGAACACCCCTCCCCCAAGATGGCGCTTCTCTGACTTTTTTTTTTTACCCCTTTAACGTCTTCACTTTTTTAATATATATATATATGATTTCGAACCTTGTAGAAGAGAAGCGTTATCACAATGACAGTTTCCTACAAAGTCAGAGCCCTCCTGGTTTTCACCATAGCAGGTGAGTGAGTACACACGCAGGAAATCTGTGTCCTTGTATGTTTCTGTCTCAGGTGCCTGATTTTAAATGTTTATCAAACAAAGGTCATGTTTGCGCTTCTCATGGTATGTAACAGTTATGATCTGTGTCGGACGTGGTGACTTAAAAACTGTCCCGACTCGTTCTGTTTTCGTTTTGTGTCCTCTGCAGCATGCAGTCGATTTGATCCTGCCCTCTGCTCCGGTAAGAAGATGTCGGCACTTTATCTCATGTTGTGTCTGTGGATGTCATGGAAGGATTCTCCAATGTCACATTCTTGGTTCTAGTAACCTATGAATGCGTCATGAGACAGTTCCCTGTTTTATTTAACTGTTCTCCATTGTGATGTTAATTTTAATTGTATTTGAATATGAGCTGTTCATTGTGAAGCACTTTGTTCCCTATATTGAAAGGTCTATGGTGCAGTGATGATAAAAGCAAATATCAGAGCAGATTCTGTTTAGCATTACTTTCTTTACTTTTTTCTTTACTGAAAACAGTGTTAATCAGTGTTTGGAGAAGCAGAAGTGATGTATTGAAATGAAAGTTGTTGTTACTCAGCTCGATGTGGGCGTTCCCTTCAAGTCTTTGACGACGCGGTGGGAGAGATCATGAGTTCTGCTTACCACAGCTGGTCCTACCACTTCGGCTCTACCTTTGACTGCTGGATCATCAGGGGTCTGGAAGGGGAACCCATCGTTCTCAGGTACAGATGCTGAGCTGGCTCTCAGTGTTCAAAGAATTTGTTTGAGAGTTGTTTGCCACTGTTCGCTGATTTAAGTTTCACAGCTAATCCCCCTTATCTAATTTCAAATTATTTTTTTTGTCAGCTTTTCCCAGTTTTCAGCACGATGTAGGAAGGAATGGGTGTCTATCAAATCCTCCGCTGGCGGTGAGCCGGTTGTCCTTTGTGGCTCCAAGCTACCACTGCCAATGGAATTCCCAGGGGGAAATATTACAGTGATGCACCACTTCCTCCCGCATCTGTTCCCTGTGTCATCATTTCTGTTGAACTATGCCAGAGGTATATAGGCTTTGTTTTGTCTTTAACATCTTGTGTTTGATCATTTGCAAAGTGCTCACCTCTTGTACCTTTTCAAGGGAATTCATGGCTTTACATTCCTGCTGCAACTTCTACTTTTTCATATCAAAAGGTTTAATGCTTTTCTTTTTCTACACATTCAGACTCTGGTGAATGTCCTTTGACATCTTTTGAATGCCTCGGGGGCCGTTGCCTTCCCCTCTCCTGGCGCTGTAATGGCCAGGTGGAGTGTCTCGGTGAAGGTCCCGGTCTCGGTTCAGACGAACATGACTGCGATGGAGATTCGGGAACTCCATCCCCCTCAAAGCAGGGCAGCACACAGGAAGTAGGAACTAAAAAGGAAATGTATACAGAGAGTAACCATGACAGGTACTCTGAGAAACTTAAGGTCATAGATAATAGTCAGAGCTCAGAAAAGTCAGAGGAGAGAAACACTGATTCAGATCTGTGGGCGCTGCTGAAGGAGGAGGCTCAGGTGGATCAAGAGCAACCTTCGACCCATAAGGAGCTTGTTGTGACACCAAGTCCCATTGAGTGGCCCTGCGGAGGGCTCCTCCAGACCTTTTATGGGACATTCTCACCTCCAGCCATTCGGGGTCCTGCTCTGTTCTGTGTCTGGACACTGGACCCTCAGGATTCCAGGCCTCTCAGATTGGATCTGCAGCAGCTGCTTCTGGGGCCCGGGGACAGACTCACCATCTTCAACAGAGAGCAAGGAAAAGGAGATGTTATTAAAATTGTGAGTTTGTTTGATTTAGCCTTTTTCCTGATAGTCGTCTCTAAAGAATCTTAAACAAAAATCCTTATTGTAACACAATGTTCCTTCCCTGCATGTTGACAGATCACCAGCACCTCCAATTACAAATCAGTCCAAGCCGAATCCCACACTGGCGTCCTGTCGTTGATGTACGAGACGATTCCTGACTCAGAGGGGAGTGGTTTTAACGCCACGTTCCACGTCGGGAGCTACTGCCCTCCATGGGAAGGTCGGTGTGGGGGAGCATCAGGGGGTTGCTTCACCCAGGAGCAACGCTGTGATGGGAAATGGGACTGTCCTGAGACGGGGAAGGACGAGGAGGGATGCCGAGGCTGCAGTCCGAACCAGTTTGCGTGTGGAGTGGTGGGACAGCGGATTGTGGCATCCAGCCACTTTCCTGGCCACTCCGTGTGTTACCCAGTCACGGAGAGGTGCAACTACCAGCTGTACTGCGCTGACGGCAGCGACGAGAGGGACTGCACTGTGTGCCAGCCGGGGACCTTTCATTGTGACAGTGACAGGTCAGTTTCTGTTAGTTTCTCTAAAGACTTTCAGACTGAAATTCAGTTCTTTTTGCTGTGGAGAGGACAGCGTGTGATTGATTGTTAGGGCTCTTTAGGAGGACTGCTGGTCTTTGGCGAAGGTACACACGTTCTCACATTCAGTGCACGTCAGAAAGCAGCTCTACAGTATCTCATCATGTGCCAAAGTCATGATTTGCAGTCTTTTTGTTTTCGTATTTGGAAATCCCTCGGGCATCAGGACGAAGCTGAATCTCTTACTCGTTTTATTCCTGCGTCATCTAACACACAAGTGGCCCATTGTCCTGTGCGCAGGTGCGTGTTTGAGAGCTGGCGCTGTGACGGCCAGGTGGACTGTAAGGATGGCACGGACGAGCTCAACTGCACCGTCATCCTGCCCCGCAAGGTCATCACTGCGGCAACGGTTGGCAGCCTGGTGTGTGGGCTCCTGCTTGTGATCGCCATGGGCTGCACCTGTAAACTGTACTCGCTCAGGACCAGGGAGTACAGGTAACTTGATTGTTTTTGTGCCTTTATTGTTTTTAATCCTACTCATCCTGCAGTTTCTGCGATGTTCCATATTTGTTTTCGCTCTGTAGCTGAAGTATATTTGGTTTACAGACGTGTTGGTTCTTTTAAACAAGCATTGTGGGCTTTTTAATGACTACCACTGCCACATTTTGTGTTGACTCTCTGAGATGGTGACTCACAAGAGGCACACTTTGTTTTCATAACTTCTGGATTCAGTTGCTGCCAAAACGACCAGACAGCATCTCTCAAACGCTTCAGAACCTCCCACAACACAGACAGCATGCATTGTAGAAACACACACACAAACTACCAGGTTGTTGTCTCAGCCAAAGTCGGTCATGTTGTGTACTCTTCTGAAAATTACACCTCTCTACGGTGTACAAAAGTCAAAACATTAACTTTCATTTTACAAAAACAAACCATGAGTGTTTTTAGGATTGAAGCAGTTATTTACTTTAAAAATAAGCTGTAGTACAGTAGATAAAAATATGATAAAGAAGTTTATACTGTGGATGAATCTCTGGGAAACCAGTGTCTGTGTGTGTGTGAATGTGTCCTAATGTGTCTGTTTTCCTGCAGCTTGTTTGCTCCAATCAGCCGTCAGGAAGCAGAGCTGATCCAGCAGCAGGCTCCTCCGTCCTACGGTCAGCTGATTGCCCAGGGCATCATCCCGCCAGTGGAGGACTTCCCCACAGAGAACCCCAATGAGGTGAGAGCGTCACAAGAGCATGTAGCTGTTTACTGGATGAGTATGACCTCAATATGCGATAATCGGTTCTCCTGATGATTGATCGTTTTAGAGACATGGTGTAGTCTCACCTGTTGAACAGCTTACAACATTTTGTAACATTCAGTGTTGCTAAGTGGGTTTCTTCAAGTGTGTTTGTGGTGAGTCCCTAAAGGTCTTTGGGAAACCCTGATTGATCTGCAGGACTTTCTGATGGTCAAGAATTATTAATGTCACAGAAATGTCACAACAAAAACTATCAATAAGAGTTACCGGATGATAACCAATGGAAGGTCTCTTGTATTGTTCAGTTGCAATGCAGACTTCAGTGTCCAGTTTTCAATTCTGACAGGCTTGTTTGTTTGGCAGTGAAATTAAAAGCACCTGACAGTAACGTGAAAACACTTGAAATCGAACCCCCGAGCTTCAGAGGACCATAACAAATTCATTTAATGCTCTGAAGTTTGAAAGAAAGGAGTCGGTAAGAAGAGGACTGATAACGGACTCATTCATGGGAGAAGAGGCCTCGTCTCTGAGCGGCACATTCTTCTGCTGTCCAGCGACACTGAGTTCAATTTTAGCTACAGTAGCTCCTGTGTCATCAGTCTTAAAGTCATGTGCTCCACTCCAGCAGTCGACTTGCTTCAGCCCGCAGCCTCCTGATGGGGATTAATAGAGTTAAGATAGAACGAATGTGCTGTTGCCATGCAGGTTCACACTGAGGTGCTTTATTACTAGCCAATGAGGACAGTGATTTAGAAGAGCGATTAACAAAGCATGTGATGTCTGATGGGTCAGCCCAGGATACAAACTCACTCTTCAAACTTGTGATTGTTTTAATACAAGGAAGGAAGGAATTGAGAGAGTTATAGAAGGTATTTTCTTTGACACATTTTCTTTCCTTTGTTTTTATCTTTGTCAGACGTCGTCTCTTTCTCTGAGGGGAATTCTCCAGCTCCTCCGCCAGGACGCTGCCAACTCCCCACACCGCAGACGCAGGCCCCGCTTCGTCCGCCGGGCCGTTCGCCGCATGAGGCGGTGGGGTCTGATCCCCAGACCTCCCTCCAGGCCGACTCAGACATCGAGCTCCAGCCAGCAGCAGACAGATTCCGCCCTCATTGGCCAGGAACCGGGTCTCTCCACTCCCACCAGCTCCTCGTTGGCCGTGGAGGCGGTGAACCAGCCGGTGCCTCAGAAACTGGGCTTGTTGTCTCAGTCCGAGCCGCATCATCATCATCAGCAGCAGGAGGACGACGACGTACCGCCTCTTCTGCTTTCTCTGCCCCCGCCGCCCGTCGCCTCCCCACCTCCACCTCCATACGCCCCCCCAGCTCCACCCCCGCCCGTCCCGCTCACTCCTCCCGTCGCCGTGCCCCCGAGCAGCCCCTCTCTTGCCTCCATCTTCCACACGCTGGGCCTGAGTATCTCCCTCTTCAGAGCGTCGCCCTCGTCCTCCTCCACCAACTCCATGCTCCTCTCCGCCTCCCCCTCTTTCTCCTCCTCCTCCTGCTCAGATGACGAGGTGCTGCTCATCCCTCTATCCGAAGACACCACTTCAGAGGATGACGTGCCCATGCTCACCTGAGCGACTCCCTCACCCGCCCAGTGACTCACACCCCTTCTCTGTCTCCTTTTACGCACTAATAACTGAGTCTTTCCACATTCGTTTGAACTGAAGCACAGGAGGTGGCCCACAGCGAGACGCACCCTCACTGTGCAAGTCTGGTGCCTTTTTGAAATTGCTTTGAGTTGGATTTGTTGACTTATGGAAACAAGTATTTGACCATTTTTTTAAAGACTTCCTTCAGAAAGTGTAAGTTTAAAACGAAGCGCATGGCTGATGTATGTCTGGGAGTGAGCGTAGGTCGGTATCGGGTGTGCACTTAATTAACGCTGGGCTGCACATTGAAGGTAAACTTTTTGCACAGAAGAATCTTCCCTATCCAGAAACTGAGGCAGGCGACTGTCACACTGAATGATTAGAGTTTTTATGATGGAAATCGTTGTGTTTTGTATGGTTGCAACTGTGTGAATGGATTTATGTCTTACATAGACAGTGGAGTATGTTTGTAGATGTGGTTCATCCCCACATACTTCTGCCACTTGTATCCAGTCTCATGCTATATCAGATGTTATTATAGAAAAAAAACATTTCCCCTATTTAAGTGCCTTTTTGAGGAGTTTCCTGTAGATGGCTCGAGGTGATTGAGACGATTCCCAGAGAAACACGCTGCACACGAAACACACGGAGGCACGTTTTCCTTACATCACAGCACGCATCGACACATCAGTGACTTTACGATAAAAACAATGCATGACTACTCTGCAAGCCGGCAATAACCTTTGGGACCCCGTAGTTTTTGTGCACATTCATGGCAATGTAACTGCGTTTTAGATTACACACGTGTACACTTTCTAAGCGAATGTATGTAATATACAAAAAGCAAATATGTCAAAAGACAATCTCTTTGGTGCCTGACTTCAGTGTGTGTGTGTGTGTATGTGTGTCGTGTGCACAGGAAGATGAGGGGCCCTCGTGATGCACGGGGCCCCGAAATCACAAAAACAACCTCAACTTGAATCTTCAGCCCCTGAGGGGAACGGATCGCATTCTGTCACATTTTGACACAGCAGACTTGTGGTGTGCCATTTGTATTGTTGTACATTTTACAGTGTTTTTATTTCAGCAAGTTACTTATAAATTTTTTCCTCTTAAGTTGTTTTTTTTTTGTTTTTTTTTTTTGCTTTGATGAATGTATTGGTGTAGATTAGCCGGAAGTTTTAAATTTAGCTTAATATGAGAGAAAGTGATTTTATGATTTATTAGGGTCAACTTCACTGTATATAAGTAAAAATGTGGCTGAGATTAAACGATTTGCACTTTTAAGTTTGGCGTGTTGTGTTTGTTTGTTGGTCAGTAAAGAGTGTGAGGCGTGGCCGACACAGAGGTGACAACAGGTGAGAGAGTTGTTGCTTTGTGTTTTGTATTCAAACGTCCTGCAGGAATTCCCTCAGACTCCTGGAGGAGCTCCTCAGTGTTTGTCCTGGGGAGAAGACACAAGTGGAGAGAGATCAGGGCTCAGGAGAGACACCGACGTTACGTTGGGCTACAAGGTAATTACAGCAACTGCTTTTAAATTCATTGATGTCTTAGGACAGTGATCGTTGGAGTTAAATTTTGCTTAACATCTAACAGAAGGCCCAGTTTCTTCTGACGTATTTGACCCTTCCAGACTAAAGTTTTCTCATTATAATGTTTGATTTAGTCTGGTGCATATTATAAGTACTGTAGAAATTAGAAATGTTCTCATTTGAAAATATTGCGGGGTGGGTGGGAGAACTACTATATATCTTTCATATACTGAGTAATATTTTGACTTCTGTTTAAAATATTGTAAAGTTACGAGAGGCTTGGCCACTGAATAAAACCAGAGTCATGACTTTGGTTTGAAAACTTTAAGTCGAGTTAAATCGAAGGACAAATAAATACACAGTATTCTACATGATCTTCAATTACATTAGTTACATATCGTCCAAATTCAGTGAAATTGATTTCGCATTATTAATAAAAACACTGGGGTCCTGGGTCAAAGAACCCCTTATAACTGAATTTTTCTATAGACAGCTCTTCTCTGTAGGCTGTTGGAAATTCCAATTAAGTGTCACTATGATTAATGAATAAATCCACTACAGCCTGAAAACTCTATCTGCTGCTGGAGACAAACTGTGGAACTTTGTCCTCACTGTGACATTTAAATAGGTTCCAGCTCTAGTTATGACCTCACCTCCGTCCCTGAGGCTCTGGGTGGGGATGTTGGTGGTCATGGTGGTGGCTGAGCTCCCTGGAGCTCTGCAGAAGTGCATCTTTGATGAGGTCCAGGCTCAGGTCCGAGTGGTCAGGGCTGCTCGGATCCACCCACACGGCCCCCCTGACCAGCCCACACCCCCGACTGGGCCACAGCATCGGAGGAGCGGCCTGGGGGAGATGACTCCTTCTGCTCCTGCCTCGCCACAGCCAATCAGGATCCACACCTGGATTCCAAGAGAGAGCGACCGCCTGTCAGACGCAGAGAAGGGGAGACTGGAGGCAGCAGTGGAGGAGGCTGTGAGGGTGGTGTCGTCTTTACTGTCAGGTAAAAAAAACAACACACACACACACACACACACACACACACACACACACACACACACACACACACACAGCATTATAAACCAATTGATCTTTTCATAGTGAACAGGGTTGTGGGTCCTTTGCTGCTCAGCAGAGACGTCAACAAATACTGCAAGTTCGTCTGGAGCAATTCAAAGACAAGCAACTACAACAGGTGTGTGTGTGTGTGTGTGTGTATGGGTGTGTTTGTGTGTGTGTGTGTGTGTGTAGTTATGACACTTATGATGGGGAGATGTAACCTCAGCCTCACATGTCCTTGCGTTAAAGCCCCACTTCTATATTTACCCAGTAGAACTACTAATAATCACATATGATAACACGCTGCTCAAATGATTCTTTAAATTTCAAAACTCTGGAAAGAAAGTAAAGGTTTGCAATGAAATGCTCAGTAAATAGATTTAATTGATCTTTACTGCTGACGAGGAGGGATGACATGAAAACTGATTTACAACGCCACAGATGTTTTTCTTCAGGTGTGGTCGAGCCAGCAGCAGCTACAGGAATGAGACGTGTCTGGATGTGACGGTAAGTCTGGACAATTTATATCTGTTCCTCCTGTTGCACTGGAAAAGACATAAACATTATGTCTCTGTCCCTTGTTCATGAGGGACACCTTCATGAACAATGAAATAAGTCTTGTTCACCACCCGTGGTTTAAACAGATCCCAGATGATCACCTGTCTGGATGTGATATTTACCCGGAGCCTGACTCACCTCTCAGGACTGTCCTCAGACCTGAAGGTGCCGGACTCCCCGACACAGACTTCCTGCTTTACCTCCACACACAGTCCACTGACAAGTGTCGGGCAGAGGTGAAGACTCTTGTGTTGTGTGCAAAGTACTTAAAGGTTTTCAATGAGTACTAAAATGTATGCAGGCAGCACTTTACTGAAGAAAGCTAATATAAGATGTAATCATCTGTGACTGTTCTATTTAATTCACTGCCTCTAAGTGTGTAGTATCTCTTCTCCAGCCCAATGTGCTGGCGTACGCTGTCCACTGCCAGACGGACACCCAGGGGCGACCTGTGGCAGGGGTGGTGCTCATCTGCAGGGACAGACTGACAGAAGCTGTGTTCAACCACCAGGCTACAGTACAGGCAGGATTTATTGTATTTATAACTCTGAAACATATGCACAGTTTATAAATATGTTTTTCTCCATCAGGATGAGATGAATCATAACGAGTGTGTTTTTCCAGACTGTGATTCACGAGCTGTTCCACGCTCTGGGCTTCTCTAAAGATCTCTTCCACACCTGGAGAGACTGTTCGTCCTCATCTCCAGGTTTTTGACTGTTTTTGATATTTCATATGTCACTATATTAACTTGAATACAGCATGTGGCCGTCCACTTATCTGTGATGTAACGGCCTCATATGTCATGTTGCTCCTCTCGCTGTTCACTGTAATTTAGCCAAATATCTGAAACGACATTTAAACAACTACATTTATTTGTGGGGTGTTTGTCTAATAAACGTCAGAGGTTAAATATCAGCGACATATTTAAACTCCCATTCAGGATCATTTTCATTGATCAGAAATGTGTTTGTGTTTTTCTCTGGGTTGTGCAGCAGTGGGCTCTGGATGTTCACCTCGGGGGAAAGTAATTCACTCTGATGGATCAGGTCAGATGAGGATTTACACCTCGTCTGTCATCGCAGCTCTGCAGACGCACCTGACATCCCCTGACCCTGAGCTGGGAGGCCCGCTGGAGAACCAGGTACTGGAGCTGCTCAGGTTCAATCCAGATTCAACAGACGTACTCGTCGCCTGTTTCAAACTTCTGACTCCTTCCTTCAGGGTGTACCATCGGGCAGAGCCTCCTCTCACTGGGAGGCCCGGCTCCTGCGGGGGTCCATCATGGCAGCGGAGCTGGAGGACTCGACCAAAGTCCGGATCGACCCGGTCACTTTAGCTGCTTTGCAGGACACAGGCTGGTACAGCGTGGACCTGAGCCGGGCACAGAGTCTGGTCTGGGGCGGCGGTAAGAGAAGAGGAGGGGTGATGATGTGTAGTGTAAACATGAGGATAATCTGATAACCAATATAATGTTTAATTAAAACTAGAATTTTCTAATGAATTACAAAAAGGACAACAACATAAATTATATGATTTAATGATAGATTTGTATTTTCTAGGTGAAGGAGCCACGTTTGGTTCCCTGTCAACCTGCCAACACAACTCCTCATCTTTTTTCTGCACCGGCAGGTTCATTCAAAGTTTATTTTCTCCAAAACAACATATGCTTATAAGTTGAATAGTGTTGTTGTGATTATCTCAATCGGCTGATTACATTTCCAGCAGTAATGTTTGCAGTATTTTTTTCCTCTCAGTGGACTCGGGTGTCATTTTCTTCACCTCCACAAGGGCGAGTGCCAAACCGATCCATACCTGGAGGGATGTAGAGTATTTAAACCGCTGAAGAATTCAGTGAGTTATATTTCCTCTCATTATCTACAAAATAAAATTCCACAAATGTACCCACGTGCTTTGAATGTGCGATACTGATGTGCATCTTCTATTATAATGTGTATTTATGATGTTTTTTAATTGTTTTTATTAGCTTCCTATTTTAAACTTATGTTTAGTGACTTTGAGCTTTGTGCTATATTTATTATTATTGTGATCTTACATCAGAGGGAATTCTTCCTGCAGCTCATTTTGTATTGACTTTAATGTGCATTCTTTATATCTATGATCTGGACTTGTAGCTGTCCAATTCTGTAAAGCAGTAATATCTGTTTTAATTTATCTTGGTTCAGAGTGAATGCTGGAAAAAGGAAAACACCAGGCTGACACCTGAGGTCGACTGGAGCGGGGAGGTTTTGGGCCTCGACAGCCGTTGCTTCTTCTCCAGCCTGATCAGACAGGTGTGTGTGTGTGTGTGTGAATCCTTGTCACGTGCCTTTGTCTATATGTTTTCTTAGATTTACATTATTTTCTTTGTTCTCTTTTCTCTCAGCAGACAAAGTTCCTTGTGTCGAGCAGCTCAGTGGAGGGCCGCTGTTACAGACACAGGTGTACTGGACCAAACAGGTACCAAATCCAGGTGTCTGACTCTGACTGGATGGACTGCCCACCAGGGGGCGCAATTCAGGTAATCAGACCCACCGTGTACCTATAGTTTGCTGTCAATCAGAAGACTTTGTTAAAAGATGCTGTAAACATTAACATCAGCGTCTTTTCCAGGTAAATGGATACCAGGGTTTAGTTTTCTGCCCAGACAGGAGGTTGTGCCTTTATCCTGATATTACTCCTCCATCTGGTGATGTTGGTAGATTTCCTTCTTCCAACACAAGGCAAGTGTGATTTAACAATAAAGCATCATCTTGTCCTACAATAATTTAACTCATAATAACTCTACTTTGTCGTGTTTTTGTTCAGTGACCCTAACGAGATGATAAATTCAGCCCAGGACGGGAGCTGGTCGACCCTCAGGCCTCACACTGAGCTCAGTGTGGCCTCAGCGCTCGGCTTCACGGCTGCTGTGTGTCTCCTGGCTGCTCTCGCTGTGTCTTACAGGAAATGTCACTCGTGCAAGAACAGGATTCGAATTGTTCCAGACGATCACAGACCATAAACCCTGTTATTGAGTCTTGAGTAGTTAAAGTGAGAGTATGTTGGATGGCTTTTTTCTTTGTACATGTATGTGATAATGATAAATGTAAATTATGAGTGATTATGTTTTTGATGTGAAAAAGAAATAAATGAATTCACACACACAGTTCATTTAAATTGAAATTGAAATTTGTATTAATCAATGCTAGTAGATTACTCATGATCTCTTATGATGCGGTAAAACATCACAAAGCAAATGAATAAGAAGCTGCAAGGTTTTTAAAGACGATTGCACAAACTGTTTGAATGATGAGGCGGAGCTGAGTAACAAGTACACATCTTTAGGTGCGTAGTTAGTAATCCTTACAATGTTTTGATGTGAAGCAGCAACAGTAGGAAATGTTCGTTGGTGTTAGCTACTAATTATTACAGCTTTTTGTGGGAATTGCCAATAAGAGGCAATTCACATGACAAACAGCCACAGACAACAAGTTCAAAGTCCTGCACTGTAAAAGACATGGGGGACCCACTCCTGTGCAATGCGATTTTATATTACATTTCTTTTAATAGATCCCCGTCACCTAAATCTTAATGCGTGAACCTTTAAGAGACATTTATTTAATTGAGTAGATTGAGACTGCTACTTTAGGTAAAGACAGACCTTTTATATCGTTTTTATTTTCTCTGCCACACAGGGATAGAGGTTTGTCTGGGAGCCACACCACCCGGACAGATTTTGTACGGTGAACTGGTCTTGTTACATTCACGCTTTAGTTTCAGGCAGAGGAAGCAGAACGGCACATGGCATCGAGGGCATTCAATGTTTTTGCAGTATTGCTTGTTGTGCTCCACCTTCAAACCACATGTAGGGCAGGCCCTCACCGATGGACAGTTGGTGACACCCTTCACATCAGGCAGATTGATGGTGCGACATGTCTGCAGAAGCTGAAGGTCCTTGTTGGCACAGCCGTCATTGGCGCAGCGGTCGGACCGGGGGCCGTGACCTTTCCACTTCCTCTGACACTGCCAGCAGAAGTGATATGGCGTCTTCTGATCGGCTGAGCAGATGATGCACACGACACACAGGTTAGAGAGATCCTTTCTTTCCACACACGTCTTGCACTGTGGGCACTGATATGGAAAACAGGGAAAAATCCATCATATAAAAATCAGTGTCTTTGATTTTGTTTTAATGATCTGAATCATAAAAAATAAAAATCCCTGCACCACCCACCTGCTGAATGTCACAGTGCTCTGCAGCAGTCATACGAGCCATGGTCCGTTCAAATTTCTTCATTTCCGACACAGACAGAATGGCCAGTCGGCGAACTTCTATATACGACCACTCCTTATTGCACAGTTTGGTTCCCTCTACCAGTGCAGGGCATGTGAATTTATAAATGCCCTTAAAACAACAATTAAAGAACCAGTTTAGGATTAAAAAAAGAACCTTTTCCTCTCCCGTCTGTCAGCTCACGACCCCTCAGATTTGTCTCGAGACCATTTGAAAGCCCCATAGACTGAATATATATATATATATATATATGAAGATGGAAATGACAAAAAGTAAAGCCAAAAATCGCCCTCTGATGGTTGGTTGCAGTACACAGGGGATTTTCTTTCTATAAAAAATCCCCTGTGTACTGCAACTTTCACTTTTGGAATGGGTTACAAATAACAAGAAAAACATCTAGGTACCTGATCCAGCCGGCTGCGACACCACTGTGTTAGAGATTCTGCGGTGACAGCGTGGCCACAGGACATCACTGCTCGGAGACCACCATCACCGTCTTCTGAAGCTGAAGTCAACAAGAGGAAGAATGTTAGTGACTGAGTCTGAAGAACTGCATTTGTCAAAAATTAGAAAAGGAAGATTCGTGCAATCCAACAGCTAATTCAAAGAAAAATAAACAGACCAAACCAAACTAACTAACAAAGGGAAAACAAAAGTTTTATCATCTGTTTGCACAACTTCAAACACTGTCAGAGAAGGAAATCAATCTTACACACTGGATCCAGGTCGTCCTTCCTGTCAACTAAAGTCATTGTGGGGTCTTTGGGGTTGTATTTCTTCTCCTTCTCCACTTTCAACATTTCGAATGCTAAACGTGAAAACATCTGGACACCTGACATTAACAAACATTAGATTCATAACACACATTATCACAACAGTTAGTCTGTTGACAATATTTGATATAATATTACTGATATTGAAAACAACAGAAAAAGAACTAGCTGTCAAAATGTTTAAATAACTTAATCGATACAAACTTTCCATGTCAACACAATAAAGTAAAAATACTGCACACTTTCACTTTCACTCCACACTTGTACTTCCAGTAAAACACTTGTGTGACCGTATTCAGTCCTTAAAAAGTTACTAGACATTAAAGCTGTAATTCACAGTTTAGTTGCTGCTGAACTTACCTTGTTTCCTGCACAGTAGAAACACTGAAGTGTGTGTAACAACACCATCACCTCACTTTGACACTCCCTCACTACTTCCTTTATATGGAGGACGAGAAATGACNGGAGTACACCAGGTATTATAAATCTCATTGTGTGATTTAAAAAAAGAGAAATAGAAAAAAATCTGAATTAAAAAAAAGCCTTCTCCTTTGTATCAAAGGAAATATGTGCTTTTTTTCTCCAGGTGTGGGTTATTTCACTTTGCTCGTAATTTGATAGGAGACTAACACAAAACACCTGACCTCAGAGTGAAATGTAGCATATGTATAATGTAATAAAGTGCAATGTCTGATTGGTTATGGTAATTCTTCATTTAGCCACAATAACCTTAAGCTTAGTCGCCTCAAATCCAGTAAAATCACTTGAAACAGATGTGGTTCTGAGGTTCCAGACAGTTCTATGAAGAATGTGTCTCAGGGCAGCGGCACCACCATCAAATGCATGTACGAATATTTTCACGCAGAAGAAAAAGCATTCGTGCATTGTTATATTTTACTGGGCAGCATAAATCAAGAATTATAGAGGTGCTGAGAATAAAAAGTGCCTTGACATTTTTGGCGTGACAGTTCCGCCATCCCCGTTTAAGTGGTGGCGGGAGCTTTGTGGCGCGAGGCCGAGATCTCCTCCTGTTAAGCCTACATCCTGT